CACTATATGTACAAAACAATATAAACAGCAGTGTGCTTCCACCATATGTACAAAACAATATAAACAGCAGTGTGCTTCCACCATATGTACAAAACAATATAAACAGCAGTGTGCTTCCACTATATGTACAAAATAAGTCACACATTTACATTTCACTTAATATTGTGCTATCTACTGTTATCAATATATCAGCATATGATATGTATATGAATACACAATTTTTGTTATGGATATTGCATGGCATATAACATAACTTTCTCCATGTTCTAAAAATATATCTAATTCTGTTAGTTGGAACTATGCTTAAAAGAGATGACATTATGTAGCTTTACTCTACAGATCTTAAAGTTATAATTTTTCTAAACTGAAAATGTACTTCCAATAGATACTTACATCCCTCACATAATAACTTTTCTCGTTTAGTACTGCCCTCTACTTGCACAAACGTTTTTGCTCATCACTAGCTTTGATACTCCCATCTACACCAAGTGTTTAACAAGATACAGCTGTGCAGTAGCATGTAAATAGGCATGCGACAACCCTCCACCAATAGGAGTGCAACACACTCTCCTGGCTCAGCTGGCTCCCTCTATACTGCATAACTCAATTTTCACTTAGAGATTAGACAAAAAAGAAGGACCGGAAGTGGGGAGGATGGATGAGAGGTGGTAAGTATATATCAGAAATACATTTTCAGTTTAGGAAAATGATAATTTTCGATACGATACTTTACCTCTTCTCACATAATAACTAGAATCCCACATTGACCTGATAGAGGGACTGATTCAAAATATACTTATAAAAGCACCCTTCAGAAAGCATATGATGAGAGCTCATGGAATGTGAAATTCCTCCGTAGAGGAATGTACCCATGGGAGACTGCACCACATCTGAACCAAATATACTTTTTGCCCATCGTGAAAATACTTGTCATTAAATCAGGTGGAAAAGAAACACATCCATAAGTAATTGAACGAGCCAAATGGGGTAGATTGACTAGGATGCATCAGACCATAAACAGTGGTTCAAATACAATCCAAAACCAGGTGGCATTAGGTACTTGTCTTGCAGTCCATGGTAGGATGAGGGTCCCAATTGTTTTCACCTCAAGCTTAGAAAGCAGAAGGGGGAAAATAACTTTCATTCCAACCACCCAAATAGAGCACATGTGTGCCAACCCAGTCCTCAACCAAAACCAGGCCACCTGGGAACTGACATCCATACAACGGTAGGAAGGAGGAATGCAATGTAGTGGTTCACTCTAATCCAAAACCATGCAGCATTGGGAAATTATCGTCCATTCTATGGTAGGACAAGAGCGCTCTACCAGCCACATGTGTGAGGACTAACATTGGCTGGTTCTGCTCTAATCCAACACCAGACCACCCAGTAACCAACATCTGGGTGGCAGTAGGATAAGGAGTCCTAGCTAAAGGGGTGAACTGCATTTAGTGGATCATCTTTAGTCCAAAACCAGGCAGCATTGGGTATTGTACATCTGTTCCACGGTAAAAAGAGAGTTCATACCATCTGCACCAACGCAACAACAGCACCCTACTCTCAACTGAATGGGATTGAGCACACTCAGGAAGATGCCTCCATGATCTAACTCCTCAGTGGCTAGGAGCTGTTAAGTGGCAAGGACTCCCTTACTCCACTCAAAGAGGGGGGAGGGACAACATAGTGGGGAGTCCTGAGGAATGCAACACTGGAAAAAGTGAATACAAAACCCTAATCTTTAGATAGACTGGAACGGCCTTACAGTGCAGATTTATGGATTAGTATGCCCTGACAGGCATCACTCACTACAGAGCAGGATCCAACATGTACAATAATGACACCGAAAGGGAAGTAAAGAAAAATAAACTCACTCACTCACAGTTGAACTTAGGTGTGGAGAATGGCAACAGGCAGTTTTTGGTATCCAGATGAGGAGAAGATGGCCTCATGATGAAGCTAATGGGAGATGAATATATTAGGTGTGGTCCACATGCCAGCCTGAATGACTTCCTTGAATGGACACTGGAAATGGGCAGACAGTGAATGGGAGAGGTGCCAGCTCTGATGAGAGAACACTTGAAAAAGACATTGGGAATGAGAAGACAAAGAAGAATATGCCAATCCGATAAGCTACCAAATCCATCCTGTAAGGGTGGTAGGGGAAATATCACGGAGAGAGGATGGGTTCCAATTGACAAACAAAGGAGAACCACTAAAACAAGATGTGCAGGCAAGATAACATCAGAGAGCATGAATAGGACAGAGGAGATGATCTGGATTGGAATGGGAATATAAATGGGAAATAGAAGTGAAAGTGACATCACCTTCATGAGCCACTGACATCTTGGGGAAAAAAATTGCAATCCAGATACAGCAGAACATAGGTATGGTCATAAAATACACGTGATACATCGAGAGCAAAAACATCTGACTGACAACGACCACAGGCAAAAAGGAGGTAAGATAAAGGCATGGTGAAGCACAGTCAGGTTCCAATCAGGAATGGGCATAGGACAAGGACAAAAGAGACGAAAAGAGAAAGGACTGGAGAGGAAAACACACTACGGGAAGGTGAGAAACAGAAGGTATTGGATAAGGCTGCTCTATAGCCAGTAATGGTAGAAACTGAAAAACCATTGTTGAACAGCCAGGTAAAAACTTCAGACAAATGAGGAACAGTAGAACCAGAAAAAAGGTAATCATGGCACAGAAACAACTGGCAAAAAAGACCCTTTTCTCTGATACACAAATAAGGAGGAAGGACGAACAGAATGGCAAAAATAGAAGCTACCCATGTGGAAAGTCCGTACCACTTCACAATGGACTGAACAAACATTACACATGAAGCCAGAGTGTGAGGATGTTGGGATGATACACCAGTGACTAAAGTTGTTGAAGGAAGGAGGAGATATTGGAAGTGGTAATGGAGATGCTAATTAAAGGAGGGTAAGAACTGAAAAGCAAGGTTGAGCAGGCCAAGAGGGTGTAACAAGAAATAACTGACATGGAGCAGACTGGATAATGAATAAAACTCAGGGAAAGAGACAGGTAAAGATGGGACAAATCCTGACTGAAAGCATCCACCACCAAAGTCAATGAATGTGGGATTCAGGACCAAAAAAGGGGTAACTTGGGATTGAGATTGGTGGCAAATGCATCCAGAAGAGGAGTACCCCAATGATCACACAACCACCAAAATACCTGAGGATCAAAGGGCCACTCCATGGGGAGTACCATGTCAGAATGAGAAAATTGATCCTCAAGAAGATTCAGAGCACTCAGAACATGATACATCAGAATACGAATGTGTCAAGAAAAGGAGTTCTAACATCCGGAAAAAAAGTGAATGTTAATTAGTGCCTCCTTGTTGATTGATACACTAGACAACAGTCAAATTGTTGGAATGGATCATGATCACTTTGTCTCATATTAAAGGCAGGAAATGATCAAGAGTTTGATGAAGAGATGGGATATAGTGATAAGGGAGGGGGTTGAGAAAATGAAGGAAATACATTATGGAATGAGTATCCTCCAACAGCCCCTCAAGGAAGCAGTGGATAGCCTCGAACAGAAGATGGATGGAGGAGAAGGACAAACATAGGCAGGAAAATTGGATTTCGGTAAATCTCACAGATGTATCAGGGTCAGAACCTCACATCTGGATAAAAGACTCTAAAGTTTGAGAGTCAAGAAATGGAAATTCCAAATGATGGTACACCAAATCATAATTATCCAAGGTACAAGGAGTAAAAGGCATGCTAACCACAGAATGTAACTGTGCCACAAACTGGTCAGAACAGACCCCAATATGTGGAGAGAGAGAGGGAAAACCATAGTCAGAGGAAGGAACTGAGTGTAAAAGGGAAGGAGAGGCATCATACATACCTGTGACAACATATCCAGAAAGGCTGGAGATGGTCTAGGGACATCAACAGGAGGATTATGAGATTGTATAGCATAGGAAGTAGGAGAAAAAGGGCTATCCAAATCATCATATCCTTGTTCAGGTTCACCAGGAAAGAAAATAACTGGCTTGGGGTGAGGAGACACTACAGGCTGCATAATGGACTCCAATTTATGTTGTACTAAAACCAAGATCTCCTCAGCTGAAAGTGTGGAGTCTAAGGCCTGAGAAACTGTAGGTTGAGTTGCAGTAGTAGTGTTAACTACTGTAGTAGTAGCCATGATTTGAAATTCGTAATTCATAACTGGATGACAAAAGTAATAACCTACTGTAACTCAAGTTTAACTGCAGAGAAAAAAAAAATGTTGAGAAAATATTCAAAAAAGTAAGATCAAATATGAGCAAAATTTTATCATGTCTTCACACTACAGTGTCAAATCAAGAAGTGAAAATTGAGTTATACAGTATAAAGGGAGCTAGCTGTGCCAGGAGAGTGTGTTGCACTCCTATTGGTGGAGGGTTGTCACATGCTTATTTGCATGCTGTATAGAAGCTTTACCACATTACACATTTGGAGTAGGTGGGAGTATCAAGGCTAGTAGTGAGCAAAACATTCTGTGCATATAGAGGGCAGCACTGAATGAGAAAAGCTAGCATGTGAAAGGAGGTAAGGTATTGTATCAAAACATTTAGTTTCAAACTGTAATATGTTCTATCATAATTCAAATTCACTACCTTTATTCCACTCAATATTTCATTCATAAACTTCAGCCTGGAATCTTTTTTTTCCATCTGTTGTTCCTGAAAATAAAGAAAGAACTTTTAGAAACTATCTGTACACAAATGTTTGGAAACCAAATTTGGTTACTATTTAAGAGGAATAAATACACCAAAACATTAGCACGTTTTTGTTATCTATATATGTGGACCCCTATGTTAATATTTAAGATGTTTATAGATGATCAGAATGAATAACTAGGATAATGTTTAATATATTCATTGAACTTTAAAAGGAGAATAAGAAAAACTATTTCCAAAAATACCATATTACAAAGAACTGTATATTAAAACTGATAAACAGGTCAATACGTTAGACACAAGACTACCAGAAAAATAAAAAAAACTACAAAGAGAAGTGATACTCAAGCCTTTCATAGATGATAGAAGTAACAGTTTTTATAAAACAAAGTATCATAATCATAATCTTTAGCAAAGGAATATTACAAAAATTGCTTTATTCAATAAATTAGATTTAGGCTTAAAAGATCTTGAATCTACCTGAACTTTTCGCATTTTACTTGCAAATATACCAGTCAAGGGGAATACCACCAGAATGACAACAACTCCAGCTAAACAAGCAGGGCCCAGATATTGCCAGAGTAAAACAATAGTGAAAAAAATTCGTAGAGGAGCACCAATGGTCAATGTTAAGTACATGGAAAGATTAAAGATTTTCTCAGCATCCACAGCCATCAGGTTAACCAACTCACCAACTGTGTAGTTACGTCGTGCAGAGCTAGACATTTTCAAGGACTAGAACAAGGATAAGAAAAACTGCATTATCCTGAAACTATCAAATGGAATTTTTTTATATCCATTCTTTGCTCTTAAGTTTTGAGGTCTTTAACCTCAGTTTCCATTCTACGATTTTCAAAATCTAATATTATTCCATTTATAAAAGGAGTTATTAATACAAATTACAGAATACAACTTAGTGGAAGTAAAGCTATTACTAAATACTCTTTAAATTTATTATAGGTCTATATTGTACCTAAACCAAAAAACATATTCACATACATACATTTCTATGAACAAGGAAGCTAACACTTGTAAAATCTGTTATCCTAAGTATTTCTTCCATTGTGAACTATTATTTTTAAACTTATAAAAGATGTTTGATATTCTTCTCCAAAATACAGTACCACTGTACAAATATGAACAGTGTAAAATGAAACTTTTTGTTGTTACTGATATAAATGAGGAAGAAATGTATCCATTCAGATGTATATATTTCAGTTCAATTTGTTTAATGTACCTGGTTTCATTTATACTTGTACATGTACTTATGAGAACAATGTGGTATGTAATCATATAGTAGTCTATACAGTAAATATGTCGTAATCATATAGGAGCCTGTACAGATCAGTTCTATAGAATCAGTTTTTAAAGAGGTCACCCACATTCACAAGAGAAATTGTCAACAATGGTTCTTCTAATGTTTCATTGTTTGTTTGTTTTTTTTGTGGGGGGGGGGATATTTTGGAGCCCCTGAACGTATGTAGATGTTTTACACATCGCATATGACCTGTCAATTAGTGAAATAACTCAGTAGACATATACAAGAATATACAGCCACATTTTCCCCTGTTTAACATTGGATAATTTTGCACAGTATTTTTTTGTAATTTTGAATACAATTTGGTGGCTCCCTGATAACTGCTAGAGGGACAAAAGTTGCTAACATGACTTATGTATGGTGACATCACAAATATATTTTGGCCTATTTGTTTTAACATATAAAATTACTAAATTAATATTTCCAAATAAAGAAGCGCCACAAGCAGATTTTAGTTCAGTTTATATTTTAGCATTTAAGTTGAAATTTAACTTTAACTTTAAATATCAGCAGCAATAAGATAAAACTATATTTTAATTTGAAATTTAAAACTGCTAAATCTGCATTTCAATATTAGTATGCAATATGAATAGACTGTATTTTAATCTTTACCTTTAAAAATGGTAAACTTGCATTTCGGTATTAGCAGTAATAAGAGTAGACTTTTAGTTTTAACTTGAAAAATTAATAAACTTACTTTGCAATATCAACAGCACAATATAATCCAGTTCATTTACTTTCAAATAAGAATGCTTACCTTTCGATATATAGCAGTAATAAGAGCAGACTTTATCTTCAGAGCAGCAGAAATAACAAAGTATATCAGATGATTCATACATATTGAGCTAATGATTGCTGACACAAACATTATTGCTGCATAAAAAAAACCTCGCCAAACAGGTTCATTACTGGAAACAAAGTCAATCATCAAGCTGAAAAATATGAAAAATTTGCATGATCTCTTATTATATTTATGTTTTCTGCATCAAACTATCACTTCTTATTCTGTCTATTTAGAATGTCTTCAACAAAAAACTATGAGAAACTAAAAAATAAATTAATTAATCTGTTGAACCATGTTAGAATATCGATATTATATTATCTGAACAATATTATATTATATTATCAATATTATATTATATCAATATTATCTGAACTCTTGCAATAAGTAACATCAGTATTTTGCATATTGACAAAAAATACTTAATCCAAGAATGAGATATTCAAAAATTGCCAAAACTACACATTTTTGAATCACTATAGCATATATTCAGAATTCATTATCAATAGTTCCTAAAACTTTCCAACATACATTTCACTTTTGATTTACTTTTGACAATTGACAACAGCAATTCATTTATTACCTGGTGTGCTCATTGATAAATATGAAGTTATCTAAAAACTTTTAATGATTAAAAAGTGCCTTATTTTAGCATAAAATACAGTAAAAAGATATAGCATCTACCTGATTATAATAGAGCTATTAATACAAAAGAAGTTGTATATTAACTATAAACTTACTGTTGATCAAAACCCTTTTTCTTGTTATTAAGACTGATGTTATTCTAAAAAGGCACTGAAAGATATGAAACTTAATAAATTATTTTTCAAATTCTATGTATAGTGCTAAAAACAGCACTGAAGTATAATTTATGAAAATACATAATTAACATGAAATGATTTTATTCCTTACTTCATCACAAGTGGTGGCAGGATGCGAAGTAAAGAGTAAATAACCTCCAAACCTAAGCCAAACATTAGAAATGGCCAAAATCCCTTTCCCAAAGCAGTGATCAAGGAGGCAGATTTTCGTTTGTCATGACCCTCTGGTTTTCCATTCTCTGTCACTTTTGTAACATGGAGTAATTTATATCTGTTGTAAAAAGTAGGTAATTTCTTAAATATGATAAATTAAAATGTAAAAAATTAAGAGTTAGAAAAACAGAAAGCTTATGTAACTGAAAGAATGAACAAAATTTTCAAGAATGCAAAACTAGGTCAAATGTGAAGCAATACGTTTCCTATAATTAAAAGTAAAGTCAGTGTCGAGCAAATGAAATGAGTATGAACTATGTATACATTGTTAATTTTCAATTTTCATGCAAGTGACATCAAACTTATAAAAAAACTTCAAAATGTGATATAAAAAAAATGACTGCAACTTGTTAGACAGACTAATAAGCTTAGTAGTTCATGCCATTTAATCAGCTTTAGAATACAGGATGTCAACAAAAGTTTTTTTATATTTATCAAAATATTCACTATTCATCTAAAATACTAGTGTATAAATATCCAAAAAAGCATAGATATGAAGTTTGACTTACAACTTTGCCTTTATCAATTCTTTTTTCCAGGGTTTTTTGAAAGTTTTCCAAATATGAATGGATTTGAAATCTGTACTGAGTGGAAAGAGATCTGAGAGTTTCACAACATCTCTAAAGCCTTTAAGGATTAAACTGAAAAAAAAAAAAGATCCTTAAATTCAAAACTGCCTATACTATAGGTTTGCTAAAAACCATCCATATTTGGTTTGTCTTAATTGACAGTTGGAAACAAGAAAGATCACATTCTAGTATCTAGTTTAATGAAGCCACACCTAATCCCAAAATTAAACAAACGACCCTTTTAATTTGTCAAATTCATATACACATCCAGCAAAATTAAATTTGGAAAAATTCAAACTATAAATTACATTCATCAAGCAAAATTAACATGAAAAACAAGATAATATTCTATCCAAAAATTAACATACCTACTTCCTATTAAATATTGAGAGACACTTATCAAATAAAAGAACACTGTAAATATTATAATAACATACACAAATTGACAAAACTGTCAAAAGTGAATTGTGATCACAAAATCAACATTTAAAATAAATAAAATAATGTTTAAAGTTCAGCACACTCTACTGGCTGAGTATCGTTTTTGTTTTGTTTTTTTCTGCTGAAATATAACAAATATGGAACTAACCTGTCACACCAAGAGAATATCAATCGTGAAAAAAATGACAGTTCTTCAAATTTCCATGTTTCCTGAAAAATTAAAACATCACAGAGTGTAATTACTTAACCATCCACCGCTACGCACGTGCAAATTAGTTTCAGTACTGATAAATAAACGGTCAAAGTAAATAATGGCCCATCAGATGCTACTAAATTCGAAATATATATAATGCTCAAATTGAGCATCTTCAACCATTGTTTTTTTTTTTTTAATGTCGTTAGAAATTATTTTTAAAATGGCATAGCACAACTGACTTGTTTTAATTTTCGTTTACTATTGTTATCAAACTGTCAAAATATGAGGGAATTGACACCCAACTGTCAATAGAAAGAAATTATATTGGCAAAGTTTTTGTTATTATTGGAAATTCATGAATGTATAGCGGAAGCGTTCGCCGGTTTAAATTAACTTAGGTGTATTAGTTTCCTAAGTTTCTCGGTTAACTAGTCAGTAGTATCTCTCCTTATTGTCACGTTTGTCACCTAACTGAAAGTAGAAAAATTTTAAAAGCAGAAAAAATGAAAATCCGATTGTTGTTGTTTGTTATCAAGTACAAAGCTAGACAAATGCTATCTCCACTCTACCCGCCATGGATATCGAAACCCGGTTTCTAGCAGACGAGTCCGCAGACATGCCGCTGTGCCACTGTTAATTCCACAAAAAATTCCTCTACCCAAGTTAGGTTTATACAGTAGAATTTCGGCTTGCAAACACAATGGTGTTAATTTGATCTTTTTGGTTGTCGTTTTTCATTTTAGTATGCAAGCTTTGAAACAATTAGTTGTTTAGACAGCTTAGCCAGCTAGTATATATTTAAAAAAATTAGAGATAAAAAATTATAAGCATCTATTACGTCGTCAAGAGATTAATGTCGCGTTTTGGAACTTTCATTAACCGCCCCCTAAAAAACGTACATCGTGTATAATAGTTAAACGAATCGCCTATTAGTTAGCCTAAATAATGTGTAAAGTTTAGTATACTGTTACGTATCTGATCGTTTGTCAATTTCCGGTATAAATTATTTCCTAGGAACTTCAGCGATGCCAGTCCTTTCTTAATTAAACCTAGTTAATTCTTTCTCGATACAAACTTTTTGTAATACATACAATTTTCACAGTCACTTTAAACTTAACAACCTTTATAACACACACTACAAATCACAGCGATTCACACACTTTACTTACGGTGCCCACTGTTCCCTTGACTCAACTATCTATCTCTTCAATCTATTTATCTATCGATCTATCTGCCTCTATTGCTGGCTTTCTTTGCCAGGCTTATATACTAAAAAAAGAGGGCGCCTAGCAAATACTCGACATTCGCGGGGTTCCTCGATAATTCGAGGAACTCCAGCGCGCATGCTCTCAGCGTCACGCGACTTCCGCTGTCTAACAATACACTAATCTCTTATAGCGATGGCACACGACGAGACACACATTGGGCATGTAATGCTGTTTGAATACAAGAAGGG